TAAATACATTTCTTTGTATTACTGCATTAGCCATAAATATACATTTAAAGGTATTTTTAAAAATAAAGATGTACAAAAGATCCCAACGTATTGATAATAAATGAAGCTATATATAGGTATCAGCACATGTGGTCTTAACAGATATAATCATCAGCACATATAGTCTTAACAGATATAATCTGCAATAGTCAACTATGAAGAGAAAGCATGAACATATTCTTATAAAAATGATACATATGAATATTACAACAGTATTCAATTTCAAAAGTCCATTAAACAAACAGATTTTGAAGCAGAGCAACAACCTGTTTACATGTAATATATGAGATAGGACCAAATACAATGTAGGAGTGAGTATCCCTTGCTCACAGGTCTCACCCGCCGTGTGCTTCTTATCATGATGGAGAAATATCCCTCGACAATTCAGTACGTAATTACATGTAATGGCATAATAATCTACTGTATATAAAAAAGTCGATCAGCATTTGATTAAACAATAGATTGTATTTGATGACGAGGTCATTGTATCGACCATAGATATGATATCAGGTCGAAATGTATTGTAAAACTATTTTGAAAATATAAAAATAAATGTCAAGAAATAATTTCAACTACATGTACTTACAGATATTAAGTTTTTTGGTTAATGGTTTCTGATTTTACTGCTAAATTGTTTTTTAAAAAAAATAATAAAACACTTTTTGAATAGAAGGTTTTAAAAGATAGCTTAAGACTAATATATGTTTTGAAGACCAACAGGAAAATTCAGAGATGCTCGAGGAAAAACATGGAAAAATATAGTTAAATCTAAATGTCATCATTAGCAAATCTTCTAATTGTCGTTAAAGTTATTTTGATACTAGTTTTGTTTTCATCAGTGACTTGTTTGACTTTGATAATAATTGCAGGCCTAGGTATCCTTAAAGATCATGATACAAAGCAAGTTTTGTTTAATATTCTGGCATTAATTAGGCAGTGTTTAACAGATTTGTGAACAAAAACTCAATGAATGTGATAATTTCTTACGGCCAAAATATACCCAGTTCCGTAAAGATGTTTTATATTCATTTAATATGAAAGGGTTAAAGGCATTTATATCATTCTTTTTAATAGTCAGGAAGAAGTATAATTTCAATTTTTAAATCAAAAAAAGTATTTTGTTCACTTGACCTGATTGGAGTATAACCTTTTTATATACTTATAAAGTCACACAAGAATTAAAACTTCAATGTAGACAATTTCAAATTTACAATTAATTTTCAATTAAATCGTATCATTTTAAACTAAAATTAAAGGAGTTCCCAGCTTCTAGTTTCTGTGAGACTGACATTGAATTTATTGAACACCATTTTGTTGAAAGTTATTTTGTAAAAGGGCTTTTGAATGATATTGAAGAGTGTTTTCGTTATTTTTGACAAAAAACAATATTATTTGGTAAATATAGTACATTTGATTAAAATGAAAAAAAAAGTTTTCAAATAAATTAAGGATTTGGAGATAACGAACAGTATTCAGTCAAAGTCCATAAAACAATACAAAATAAGAGCAGAGCAAACTTGGACCCCCGAAACATTTGAGGTGGGATCAGGTGCCATGGAGGAGTAAGCATATAAAACTATTCAGTTCTATGTACAATGACTATAAAAATGTTGTGGAAAGAATATTGATAGAGAACTGTTGAAACAATGTGAAAATACAGAGTTTGAAAAAATCTAGCAGAGGATTTGTGATTTGTTGTACATTATGTGTATGTAATTTTTTGAAGAAATGAATTGAGCTCATGGCTACATCAATGTAAAAAATAACATTATGCACCTATATTCTTTGCTTTATACTTCCTCCATTCTTTTTTTATATACTTTCTTAATTCTTTAATCGACTTTCACAGAGGGTATGTGTGTAAATTTATATTTGTGTATCTATATGCACTTTGTGTATGATAATTATTCAATAAATATATTTATTTACAATTGTGAGTGTTAAAATGAATATTATTTAAAAGGTGTCATTTACTACATTGAATAAAGCGCACCTGAACAATAATAAAATCACTAGCACTGGCAGTTTTATTGATATCAGATTTGGCAGAGATATAAAGGAACTCAAGAAAAAGTGTTCCCTTTGTGTCGCTTTTATTTGCAGACGACAAACAGGAACTAAGCAACACCTGATTGCAATTTATTGGCTATGAGCCAAACATGAAAAAGAAGAACGTTACATTTTTTTCCGAATGAGTTAAGGAAGCTGGGTGTTCAACAAATTTACCATTGGATTGGATTTGATATCTTAAGCTATCAACTATCATTTGGCAAAGAAAAATTGCATTAAATTTTGTTTTTAAATTTGACCATAATTTGTATATCGTGATATGGAGCTCTTCTTCTAAAAGAGATGAAAAGAATCTGAAATTGGCCATAAACCACTTCGCCGGCTGTAATATATCCCACAGCAAGCTATTGAGTGCTACAATATAAACTGTATTTTAGAAGCGTTGTAAATCAGTTGTATATACTGAAAAAAATAATCAGGATCATTTGGAAATTTGCAATATTTTTTCAATTCAATTAAATCAGCATTCCAAAATCTTACCCGAGAAGAAAACGCTTGCTGTGGCCTTCAATGCGCCATTGAGATTTAAGTCGACGACGTATTATTAATTAACAATAGCTTTTTTTATTCGTAATTTCAACAAGATATATCCCGGCGAACTTGAGATACTAGAATAAGAGTCTGATACATCTTTTTCATATTGTTGTACTCTACTAGAACAAGAGGCCCATGGACCACGACCACATCGCGCACCTGAATAGCTTTGACCATGCTGATTTTTTTTTTACCAGATTATTAGTTTCCCCCTTCTTATACCTTTTGTAACCCCACATATCCTACACTAAGGGTCATGATTTGGACAGTGTAAAATCTACACTACCTAAGGATACTTTCACGTAAGCTTTCAGCTTTTCTGGCTCTGTGGTTCTCAAGTAGAAGATTTTGAAAGGTATTTCCTATTTATTTCATTGTAAAACTTAGGCTCCCTATTGTAACTCCACCCAATCCCACAGGAGTCATGATTTGAACAATTTAGAATCCTCACTACTTCAGAATGCTTTCACAAATCTTCCAGCTTTTCTAGTAGTTATTGAGAAGAAGACTTTTTGATATTTTTCCTAAAGAGTTCAATGTAGAACTTGTATTCCAAATTGTGGCTTCAACCTACTCCCGGGGTCTTGATTTGACCAATTTGTGATCTACACTACCTAAAGATACTTTCACATCAATTTCAGCTTTTCTGTCCCAGTGGATCTTGAGAAAAAGATTTTTAAAAATCCCTGTAAATTTCAATGTAAAACTTTCATTCCAGTTTGTGGCCCCGCTCTACCCCCTGGGGTCATGATTTGAACAATTTAAAATGTATACTTCCCAAATATATTTTCACATAAGTTTTAGCTTTTCTGGCCTAGTGGTTCTTGAGAAAAAAGTTTTTGAAGATTTTTCCTATGTATTTTGATATACAAGTTTTGCCCCGTCCTACCCCTGGGAGTCATGATTTTTACAATTTAAAATCTACATAACTCCAGCATAATTCTACATAAGTTTCAGCTTTTCTGGCTCATTGATTCTTGAAAAAAAGACTTTTGAAGATTATTTCTATATATTTTAAAGTTAAAATTGGGTTCCCTGTTGTGGCAAACCCTACACCCGGGGGTCTTAATTTTAACATTTTATAATCTACACTTCCCCAGGATGCTTCCACATAGGTTTCAGCTTTTCTGTTACATGTGGATTATGAGAAAAATATTTTTTCTATGTAAATATTTAATTCCCTATTGCGGCCCTCTGGGGGTCATGATATGAACAGTTTAGAATTAACACTACGCAAGATTCTTCCAGATAAGTTTGAGCTTTTCTTGCCCAGTGGTTCTTGAGAAGAAAATTTTTGAAGATTTTCTCCTAAATCTATTTTTATGTAAAACATTGTTTCCATATTGTGGTCTCGTCCTACCCTTGGATGTCATGATTTTTACATAATCACAGCATAATTCTACATTTTTTTCAGCTTTTCTGTCTCATTGGTTCTTGAGAAGAAGATTTTTGAAGATTCTTCCTGTATATTTTTATGTAAAAATTGGTTTCCCTTTTTTTTGCCAAATCCTATCTCCTTGAGTCATTATTTTAACAACTGTTTTATCTACACTACCCTATGATGCTTCCACAAAGGTTTAAGCTTTTCTGGCCCAGTGGGTCATGAGAAAAGATTTTAAAAAGTGTTTTCCTGTGTAATATTGATTCCCCATTGTGGCCCCACCCAACCCCCGGGGGTCATAATTTGAACAATTTAGAATTAACACTACCCCAGAATGCTTCCAGATAAAATTCAGCTTTTCTGGCCCAGTTTTGTCTTTTCTTAATTATCTCCTCTTGTGGAGAAACTTGGTCTTTTATTAAAACAACTTACAGCCCCTTCCCCAAGGATGCTTTGTAGCAAGTTTGTTTAAATTGGCGCTGTGGTTCTTTAGAAGTCGAAAATTTACAGGCGGACAGACAAACCCTTCGGCTTAGGTGAGCTAAAAGTATAGTAACAAAGCTTCAAGTTTAAAGCTTCCCGCTGTAGCACTGACACGACATCAGATTCTGATGATTAACAGGTCTGCTCTGCGTTCGATTTGTATCGCTTAAATAGACTTTTAGGCTTTAACACTGTTTCTTATCTCCATATATTTCATGTGGAGGTTTACTGATGAACTCAAGGAGAAAGCGAAACATACTTCTTTGTTTATTTTCAAACATTCTGTGGAAATTTTTTTACATTCTTTTCTTTTTTTTATAGATAATCGAAAATACAAAATCTAAACAATGCATCTGTATAATAAAGTTTATCTTTCTTGAAATCTAGAATTCTTCAAATTTAAAGTAAATCATGTTTATTCACTTAAATAAACTAAAATTAACATCCAAGAAAAAGAATATTTAACTTCTGATGACGGCAACTTAAATATAACTTATTTACGAAAAAATAATGACTTCAATTTAGATTTTAGTTTTCCGTCAAAGTATCCATATATGAATGGATTGACGATATGGTTCAGCACTATCAACCGTGCCGAAAATATCCAGGCGTTGATGCCAAGAGGTGATAGCTGTAAGTAGTCGAAGCCCTCAATCGTGTAGGTAATAAGTAATATGGCAAATGACGGTACATAGGAGAATATGTACACCGTTATAATCGCCAGGAACATTATATTTATCCGGGTTTTTGCCTGCGGAGCCGATTCAGTGGATATTGTCCTATGTGTTCTTGTAGCTGTACAAATGGCATTGGTGTCGGTAGAATCCCGGTTATTTGATATTACAGCTATAGACATTCTGAAATTATGAACATAACTCCTCCTTCTGTTTTTCATTTTTAGGTGATGATAAATAGTTTTTGTGACAGGTATATAGAAAGCTGCCACAACAGAGATATTGACGATAATTATGACCAAGAGGAGAAGAAAGTAGGCCATTGTTGCGCCTCCTCCTTGTACGGATAAGACGCAGGTATTTCCGGTGACATTTTGATTTAAAAACACCTTTGTCGATGTACGAATTCCGCTGGTGGCAAATAAAGGAGAAGAATAGATAAAAGTAACCAGGAGTAAAATAAAAACGGCCAGTCGTCTACTGGTGGATGACAACTGACGTCCAAGAGGTCGACAGATCAGGAGGTACCGCTGAAGGGCAATCACTAACAAAGTGTTTCCGGAAAAACCGGAAGTGAAACACATAAGAAAACTCAACACGCGGCAAAGAGAGTCGCTGGGGAAAACAAACAGGAAGTAGTTGTCTAAGAGGTAATACACAATGCTCGTAATACATCCGATTGTGTCTATAAAAGCTAGAATCGGAATGAAGTATCGCTCCCCCGCATCGTCCTGTACACCCAACGCATAGGCGTATAAAATAACGATATTTCCCAGAATTCCAAAGACTGTTCCAAAGATCACTAAGATGCTATTGGGAAGGAGAATTTCAGCGTAAATATCGTTAAGTTCTTGAGTTTGGTTCTCCATTTTAGATTGCCATCTGCGAACACCATTAAATGCACTTTTTAACACTCTTTACCATTTACCTCTCTTCATTCAGTCTTGTGATTTGTACTCTTGCACTCCAAAAGAATTCACAAAAATATGTCTTTTCATATATGTCATAAAAAGAATTACAGAAAAAACAGAGCTCATGATACAGTCATCTCCTTGACGAGTAATTAAATAGTAAGAGGATGTGTTAACATTAATTTAATATTATATTACAATTCGTGACCTTATTATGCATAACATTATCACTCCCTTTATAAGTTGAATTGATTTAATCTTCAAACGGATTTTCATTCACGGACAATGATTGCGGACATGGGCACCAACCAAACACTGATTTATTTTTCTGGGCTTACAATTCTCTTGCACATTAGAAATTTGTCAAATTTGAGAAGATATACAAGAATTGGAGATCACCAATGTCACAATGTCAATCTTCGACATATTAGTAATTTTATATGGGCCACAGGGTTTGGAGGTTAAGTTTCTCTAGCTAGTTAGGGTGGTGCACGGGTGTGTTCAAATTTCGCACGAATAGGTGACGCTCCATCCGGATTGCGATTGTGTATATGTCTTGAACTGGTATTATGTCAAAGATTAACCCTCTGATCTATAAACAAGTACATGTATGTAGAGAAATACACCGACCATCTCCAGTAACTTTAATCTTATTTGTACCTATACCTTTTTTTCTCACTAGAAAATATACTTTCCTTGTTTGAAAAAAAGAAAGTGAAAGATATGTTTCAAATAAATTGCATGTATTTTGTACTCTTTTACATTCTATTACATTATGAAGTGAGTTATTTTATTGTTTGTGGACATATAAAGGTTGTTATCTAAAAGTATTATTTTTTTATTTTTTTACGATCAGTCATTGTCTTGAAGGATACAGAGCTGACGAATAGTATTCAATATCAAAGTCCATAAAACAATACAAAATAGAAGCAGAGCAAACACGGATCTCCGAAGCATCAGAGGTGGGATCAGGTGCCATGGAGGAGTGAGCATCCCCTGCTAACCGGTCACACCCACCGTGTGCTCCTTGTCCTGATCAGAAAATAATGGAAAAGTCCGTTGTCAATTAAATGTATAAATAATGAAATTAACAATTAGTATGAAAAAACGTCAGTCAGCGTTTGGCTCAGTGATAAATTGTATTTGCTGACAAGGTCAATACATCGACCATAGAAATTACAAAATGATGACGTTAAACGAGACTGATGATACTCTTGTTTCATCCACTTGCTTATCAATAATTTACCTCATTTTAGAAATTTTAATGCGTAGAGCATGCTCTTGCGTATATCTTGCTCTTGAAATAATTACAGTGGAACTTGTGATGCTTGTGTTTAACAGGTTCAAATTTGTAAAATTATGTTCAGTACCTCATTTTTATTATATTTAGTTCTTTATTCCGACGGACGTTAATCCAATAAGTATTACAGTACAAAATTATATATTTTTTTCATTTACATGCGTAAGACAATGACATACTATACACTTACAAAAATGTGATATTTACATTCTATTATTAAGCAAATTGTTCTAACATCATCATCCCAATTTATTATCATGATTTTTTACATTTCCCTGAATAACATGTATAATAAGTAATTTGTCGAAAATCTTATGCATGAGAAGAAGAAAAAAAATTCTGTGACCTTCATCTAAACATTTAGATATACCGATGACATATTGTCTTTTTACAATGGCAATTACATTCTTATGTTGATTCGATAAACGTGTATCCTGGTGAGTTTGAGCTCAAAGAAACGAAAGAGTCTGACAAATATGATAATAGTTGTATATTTTACTTGAAAAAAGACACTAATGAGTATCTAACAACCAAGTTTTATGATAAATGTAATGACTTTAATTTTGCAATTGTTAACTTCCCTTACTAATGCATCAATATATACCTTCATCACCTGTATACGGAGTGTATATATCTCAGTTGATTCGATACGCAAGAGTATGCTTTTCGTTTGAACATTATCTAAAACGAGGAAAATCATTGACAAACAAGTAAATGAAATAAGAATATCAGCAGTCTAGTTTTAAGTCATATTTCGTAAGTTCTTTGGTCGATATAATGACCTTATCAGCAAATACAATTTGTCATTAGATCAAATGCTGACTTACAATTTTAATACTAATTGTTAGACTAAGTCCATTATTTAAACACTGAATTGACGACAGATTTTCCGGTATTCCTCGATCATGACAAGGAGCACACGGCGGGTTTGACCGGTCGGCTCACTCCTCCGTGGCACCTGATCCCACCTCTGATGTTTTGGAGATCCATGTTTGCTCCGCTCCTGTTTTGTATTGTTTTCTGGATTATTGATCTTGAATACTGTCTGTCATCTACATATGTTTCATTTAAATTAATATAAAGACACTAGATGTACCGAAAAAAAAATTAACTCTTAAATCATAAAAAACTGGACAAAAAAATGAAATGCATCTTCAATGTCATATCGATTATTTTGATCACATTTCATATAACTGCGAATCGACATCTGTTTAGATGCATATAACACAACTTGGTAGTCTATATCATGATCAGTTACATCTTATTTCTATGTTTTTAAAATGCTCTGATAAATCATTTGTAACCAACAAAGCGGTTTCTAAAAAACGTTCATTACACCAAGTTAGATTATATCGTATATAATAAAGCTTCATTCCATAAGATTTAATTCCAGTGTTAACAATTAAATTTTTTTCTCCAAAATGGCCTCGAATTGAGCGTAACTCAGTGTTTTCTAGGAAACTTTTTCTATGCGATATATGTATGCATTAATTCTTTTATCCAGTCAAATGACGTGTTACAACTCAAATGAAATTATTGATATTTGTTTTTGGTGTTTTATTTGATTTTTATCACACATTAGAATTGTACACATTCAAAAAATCATTGAATCCTTGCTTAGCTGTGATATTTCATTTTTATAATAAGTCACGTGAACAATGGTTAGTGCTGTGTAATTGACAAATTAATTCGAAAAGGTCAGTTTTCACGAATAAGCAAATTTTTGCTCTGTTGTGGGGATGATAATTCTGGGATAACTTATACATTTAGACAAATAACTGAATCAATATATAGACAAATAACTGAATCAATATATAGGCAAACATTTTTGCGAGGATGTATATTTCTGACCTGTGCTAAAAGAAGAATATCAACAGTATTGTATAAATTCATCATTTCGTAAGTTCTGTTAATTGTCAAAACTATGACCTGGTCATAAAATGTAATATATGTTTAAGACAAATGAGGACTGACATTTTTCATACTAATTGTTAGGCCATTATGAACGCACTGAAATGTGAACATATATTTCTGTTATTTCCCGATCATGATAAGGAACATACGGCGGGCCTGACTTTTGATCCCACGTTTGATGTTTATCCTATTTTTATGGAACGCCTGGACTGTCTTATCATGGCGAAATTAAATTAATGATGTGCATTTATCATTATGTGATGTCCTTTTATCATTATGTAATGTCCTTTTTTCATTGCATTAAGTGGTTTTATCATTATATTATGTCCTTTTATCATTACGTTATGTGCATTTGTCATTACGTGATGTGCATTTGTCATTACGTGATGTGCATTTGTCTTTATGTGGTGTTCATTTGTCTTTATGTGATGTGCATTTGTCTTTATGTGATGTGCATTTGTCTTTATGTGATGTGCATTTTTCATTACGTGTTGTGCATTTGTCTTCATGTGATGTACAATTATTTTTATTTGATGTGTATCTACATTTTCACGTTGTGCTTTTTTCGGTATGAAATGTTCCCTTTAATATTATATTATGACGTGCTTTTATTATGTCTTGGTGTGCTTTAGTCTTGATGTAATGCACACATATTTTTATATCATGTTCATTCAATAATCATTACGGCATGTACAAAACCATTTACGCGCGGTGCAATCGTCTTTTCGTGATGTGCAAACGTCTTTATGATGATGGTCAAAATATTACGTTATCTTTCCCGCGTCAGCCGCCACACGAGAACAATGGACATGGACGAAGTGAACGTGGTGAACAACGTATTGAAAAACATAGGGCTTTCAAATCTAGTTACACTACTGGACGAAAAAAGTGCTGAGAATCCCAAATTTTACTGATAATGTTTGATAATTACTGATACGGTGCTGTTCTTGCTGATAAATACTGATGTTTACTGTTATTATTACTGTTGTTGCTGATAATTTTAGCTGTTGCTGATAAATACTGATAATTACTGTCGTCTTTTACTGTGGAGTCTGATAAATGCTGATAAATACTGTTGAGGTACTGTCGCTGCTGAGAATTACTGATAATTACTGTTGAGGTACTGTCGATGCTGAGATTTACTGATAATCACTGTGGTCATTGTTTTTAACCTGGGAATGGATTAAAATAGCCTGAGAAATGATTATTTCTTTTTTTTTTTTTAAGTATTTTAACAAATTCATTACAGTCAATTACAAAATAAATTATTCTAAATAAAAAAAGTCACGTTTTATTAATTTGTTTTCAGTTTTCAGCTATTAATTTCATTTTAATTATTTTTAGGCCATAATGTTAACATAAGCTTTCATAAATGTTTATGTTTTTTCTTTAAATTTCTCCTTACACGTAGATGACATTATCTGAGGAAAATTATTCTATTGTATTTGCAGCGGTTTTTCTTCCCAAGTACTTTTCTTAAAAAGTTTAATATTTGTTCAAGGTTAAAAAAATTTCATCTCATATTTTTTCTCACATGTCTGTGTACTGTCATCAGAAGCTTTTTGTGGGTATCTTTAATACTTCAATACAGTCAATGGTTGTAAATATCAATTTATTTTACCGTATGGAGAACTGAAAATGCATGAGCACATTAAGTTGAAAACACCCCCCCTTTCCATTTACTTTTAAATTAAGCTCTCATTTTAACAAGACAGTATCAAATATTTGTCATAAAATCTAGTCT